CTCTGTAATTCCTCTATGAAAATGTTCGTAAAAAACGGGAAATGAGTGTGTGGTATAGTATATGCAAGGTAATGTAAGTAGGCGCCCCTATATGCAAGGTAACGTAAGTAGGCGCCCCTATATGCAAGGTAACGTAAGTAGGCGCCCCTATATGCAAGGTAACCTAAGTAGGCGCCCCTATATGCAAGGTAACCTAAGTAGGCGCCCCTATATGCAAGGTAACCTAAGTAGGCGCCCCTATATGCAAGGTAACGTAAGTAGGCGCCCCTAGATTACAATAATGAATCAATTTCTCTCGAAACTTTCACATTGATACCACTTAATCCTGTAGATCACTATGGTGTTTGTTTCATAGCAGTAAAGTTAATTTTTCGAATTTGGTTTTCAACATTTCTCTGATATATTTACGTGACTGGTTTATGAAGTTTATGTCTGTAATGGCGCTTTCGGCTTATATTTGATAAAAGAGATCCTTGTAAATGAATCATGTAATACAACCAGCACTAGGAGTCAATAGATGTTTATAAACCCCTGCATGAATACGTGATTGTTGCAAGATTTAACGTGCTTTTAATTCAGGCAGTGATCGCTAAACACTCTCGCTAAAACCTGTCTCAAAACACGGATAGACTCTTGTAAATCGCACATGTTTTAGTTTGATTTTTTCAATCTTTTACATTCACACGACCTTATTCGATATATTCTATGTTTTAGCTTGCATCAGTATACAATTCATATCATATATCATTCAACTGATAGCCTTTTATGGAAAGTGCCCCTATATGCAAGGCGCCCCTATATGCAAGGCGCCCCTATATGCAAGGCGCCCCTATATGCAAGGCGCCCCTATATGCAAGGCGCCCCTATATGCAAGGTAACGTTACCAACCCCCCTCGCACGTTGCGCTAATGTAAAAGAAAAATATAAATTGGTAAAAATTGCTGAAAATGAGCCATTAAAATTCTTCTAAAAAAGCCAAATGCAATTTCTACAGGAAAAAGAAATATGATGATTCAAATTTCCTGGCTAAAGTTAGCATTACGACTTACCTCAGTGATAATGATTTATAAGTCGTGTTGAAGCTTATGCAACTACTGGACGAGTTTACAAAACACCGGTCAACTACACTAGAAAATACATGCCTTCTAGAGCTAACTACGAATTTACGACAATGACAACTACTAGATAAACTTCTCCTCGCTATAGTGGTTATTTGACGAGCATTTAAACAAGAAATATAATCAAATAGAAGCACAACGCTCTTGAAATGGCGTGTGACGCCCGCCATATTGGCTCACTTGAAAATGAATAATGAAATATGGGTTCCCTGTGTTGAAATAATTATGTAATATTTTCCGTCTACAAATAATAAAATTAAAAGGGAAAAAAAACGAGGAAGCATTTTTAGAAGGCTTATTAGACGCTACTGGAAACCATTTAACATTACAGGTTTTTTAAAAAATTTCTATCGCTTTAATGAAAATAATATTCTATGGGCTTCCTGTGGTACACTAATTGGACCATAAAATTTTGCAATCAAATAAACTTTTTCCTTTACAATGATATTTGGATTGGTTTATCGACAGTTCATTTCCTAATTCATAATAATTTGTCTGAATTAGGTTTCTTATATTTGAAATTCACAACCTATTCTTTTTTCACACCACCCACCCCTCCCCTTCTAGTATTGTGTAACCGTCGGTAGCCTGGTGTGTGATACAAAACACAACTGCGATAAAGAGGAAGACTGGCTATCGAGTCACGAGTAATTCTTGATCTTTGAACTGTTTTCTTGTAACTTCTCCACCTTTGAAACCCCAAAGAACAAAGAGAACTTCAAAAATAACTCCCAAGCTATTAAGCTATCCAAGGTGTTTCAAGGACACTTCAAGTACAGCGCTGTGGCTTTTTTCATCCGGATACTTCAACTGGAGACAGAAAAAAATCTGACGATTCTTCAGTTGAAGTCCGCGGTTTTTGCCCCAAATTGAAATGAAGAAACAGGTCCTCTAACTTAGAGGTCTTTTCTTTACATTGTAAAGCTATAATTCAAGATTTGATAGATATAAAGAGACATGGATCGGAAATCATCCTGGGTCGTGAATTATTTCTCAATCGGATGATAAAAGATGGATGGGACTAGTCTTGATAATGAAGAACAAATATTTTACGATACGGTGCGAGAATATGTGGTAAGTATATTCGACTTTATACCTTAGATACACCTTAGGAATTCAGTTATATTTAATGTTTTATGAGCGATATTAAGCTTAAACATATCGTATGTAACCTCGGTGGTATAAATCATTTCTGTATTTAGATGTAACCTGCGGGTTGTGTAGAGGTTGACAGTAATCTCATTAGCTGAATTTTATTTTATTTTTTATATATATATATTTTTTTGTATAAAACTTTTAAAAAACCCACATAGAATTATAAAATCTAATTCGAGAATTTCGACATCTTCAAGTGTGTATATATAGCAATGATATTCTATCTTATCCGTCGTATTTTGAAAACAAATTTAGTTCTTTACTAATCTGTACAAAAACGACTCTTCTTTATAAGATTTGTTTTTGGGAGAATTTTGCGTTGTGATCTTAAATATAGTTAATAGTATAGCCATAAACTATGTTTTAAACAAATGTTTTGGTTTCTAAGAAGCGTAATGTCAGAGCACTTATGTACAAATAGACAAAAGAAATCTTAAACAATAGGACTTCCAATGTAAAGATTTATTCACTCGTGTATAGTAATTTAAATTAGCCATTTTGATTCTTATTTTTCAAGATAATTATCATTGTAATTAAGTCAAAAGAGAAGAGGAGAAGAAAGGCTCAATATACTATCACGTAGCACATTTTTTTACCAAATATCTGGTATATTTGCACTGCACAAACTTTCAGGGCATCATTCTTGGTTTCAATCAATCCCAAGAGAGCACAATAACAAAAGGGATGTCTAGATCTGCCATGTTGCAAGATATAACAAAAGAATTCATTTTAAAATCTTTTGTCAAATTCTCCAACGTGGCGGCTATGATGTCTATTGCAAACGAAGAATAGTTAAGGATACAGTCCTTTGACTAAATGTTGTCGTTTGATCGGCTTCATCCCTATGTGCCTAGACCGAAAAGGATCATGGGGATAATTAATTCACAGTAACTAGCTGCCGCATATGCAATGTTATCAAACACGTCTTGAGCTCGCTGTTTTCGATCCCATTTAATTTGCTTAAACCATGCCTCGAGTATACGGCGAAGATTTAACACTGGCGAGCAGTTTGGATGATGCAACCTTGGATTTAATTCCTGCTGGACTTGGCATCACATGCATGTGAATAGAATTTGTTGGGTCTCAATCTCTCTTAMTTGATTCAAGGGTTTTTCTCCAGGTTTCTCGTTCTGGCAGTTCTCCTGTTTATTCCCTAGGCTCAGATTTCCAACCATTGGGGTTTTTTTTGTTTTTTCCGACCCACAAAGCCTAACAAGCAGAATGCCAGTTCATTCTGTGTGCTAGCTGTGCGATGACTTTCATTGGAGGTTTGAAGGCAGGGGCGGCAGAACCGGGGGGCACGTGACCCCCCACCACATTTTTTGGTCCTGGCCCCCCCAAAAATATTGGTTCTTAGTCGTTGTTTTACAGCGCATGGGTCTGAAATCAAGCAAAACATTGTCATTATCATAGCATTAAACATAATCAGTGCCCCCCCAAAGATTTTTAGCTTCCACTGCCCCTGGAAGGATATATTGGATCTTAGAATAAAGAAATCTTATATCTGGTCTTTCTTCTGCCTTTCAGATTGCCTTCTTAGTCTTTGTTATACTTAACAGTATATCATATATCATCATCAGCCACTTCCGTAGACGAAGAGATGAGCTTGATTCAGGTACATTTCTTCCACCATTTGCTGCTGCTTTTTTGAGCCCAAGAAATAACTAACTAACTATCTTCATTATATATTATTTTGCAGATGGTGAAGATGCATCAGTTTACAGAATATCGTAAGTGCATCAAATAGACTTGTATTATGTAGATTAGATCTGCTCTGATTGGTAGAGAATTGTGCTGTATCAGTAAATGAAGCATGATGCTTATGCCAACACCAATAATATAACATAGGTCAAGCTTAAATTAACCAAAAAAGTAAGACATTTGACCAAAATGTTGGAGGCAAAACACTTAATATTTTTAAGGATTAAAAATGCAAACTACAGCCAGTGTTACTAGCATTTGCATGAGGGAGCAATTTCGCCCAAAGCTAAGGGGGAAAGCATTTAATGCTTTTAAAATGTCTGGCCAGAATAATTGCAACTTGTTCTGTCAAATCTTTGCCTTGCTCATGATTTTGACCAGTAAACTTTGAGCCAAAAATGCAGTATGACTGGTCAAGCTAAAACTAATTTGGCCTGTCATCGTGACTGATGATTGCATAACCAGCCTTTATTTTAAGTCCTGATGTAATAAACCTATATGAGTTTGATTTTTTTTTTTTTTTTCTAGACTATGGTTATGTACCTTCACTCTCTCGGTATCACTAGGTGCAGTCCTGCTGTTACCCATGTCTATCCTCAGTAACGAGATACTCCTGATGTACCCCAAGAGTTATTACATTAAATGGCTGAATGGATCACTCATTCATGGTGGGTAGAGTAAAGACTCCAAGTCAAGCTACTGTAGTCTAACTTGATGTTTTCACATATTCACTGTATTTTGTCAAGATCAACCTCAACTTAAAGCCAATTTGTTTCCTGGTTACTTAAGCGAGAGCATGAGAGCATGACTAAAACTTGGAAATTTTTCATAGCAAATCATTGGCTTAACTGTTGTTTAATAATAGTTAATACTTTTTAACTAGTAAGCTAATAGGGTTTTAGATTGTGACATACTAAGCAGAGGGATACACACAAAAATTTTAGCCTGCGAAACATTCCTCTGGAGTGGGGGGTTAATTGTGGAGAGGGAAAGGGAGAGAGGGAAAGCCTTCAAGCCCCATGCCAGATATCCGTTTCATAGCTAGCCTACAAAAATTGCAAGTGAAAGGACTTCACTATTGGTCAATCAACTGTGAGTGAAATGCTAACAAGCAAAATGATGGATATATTGTTGAGAGAATGTAGTTATAAGAACACAAAGTACTGTAGGTGCAGTATTGAGCAGCAGTTGCTAGGCTAGTAAAAAAAATATTTTCTATTTGACCTGCCATTAGATACTAAAATTCTTGTGTTTTATGAATTTTCAGGCATGTGGAACCAGATATTTCTGGGCTCTTATATCTCTTTATTTGTTGCCATGCCTTTTGCATACTTCTTCACTGAGTCAGAGGGATTTGCAGGGTCAAGAAAGGTTTGTAATCATAGCTCAAGCTTGGCCCAATCTATGAAATATACTACTTAAATTAGCTCAAGATCTCAAATACTACTGCACCGTATGACTCTAAGCCCACTTCAATTGCAACTTCAACTTAATTAATTAACATAAAATGATAATAAATAAATCTTTAGAAAAACATGAAATATAAATTTACAAAACAAAAGGAAAAGTCAGGAAAAAATTTTTTATATAAGATTAATATGTCAATACTTCATTAGAAGCACAGGAGGTGTAGCCATAAACTCGCTCACCTCTCACCAACGAAACACTGGTTGAAGAGTTTTTCTGCGGGTTCTCCAGTTTTGCTACCTAAAATTAACTTCCAAATTCTAATTCAATTTAATGGTTGCCTTATATACGTTTCCACTTCGGGGGCTAAAGTATGATAATAATTAATAATCTATAAATTACTAAATTAATCTTGTCATTTGCAGGGTATTATGGCAAAGGTGTACGAGACATCAGTAGTGTTATTTCTTCTTGCCGTCCTGGTCAGTAGTATAGTGTTGGTGGTCTCGGCTTTGTTGGATAAAGGATGGGCTGTTAGTCAGTCATCTCATTATCATGGTGGGTATCAAAGCCAAAACCATTATCTCTATCCTAACCAGGTGCGGATCAGGATTTTGTTCAGGGGGGTGCTGCACACAAAGTTAAATTGGGGGGGCGCACCCCTTTGAATCAAAAGGAAAACCAGTATTGGTTACTTTGAAGTAGGGGCACAAAGTCGAACCAGGGGGGTGGGCACCCCCTGCACCCCCCTGGATCCGCCCCTGCTAACATTATGTATTGTAACAAAGCTGTTAGTATTAAAGACATAAAGTATGCAACTATCAAAAAAAAATGTTGGTGAAGGTTTTGTTGCATGTTGCTTAAGCTTGAAAATCATATTTATATGTAAATAATGTCAGCACAGAAGAAAATATGCCGCAGAGAACGTGCAGACAAAGTTTGGAAAATTTCCATATTGTTGTGACCTTTCGCTGATTGTATTTACATCACCCATAATGCATTTAGAGCTTGGTATGCAACATGCAACGAAGTATTCACCAACCTTTTTTGAAATAGCTGTAGACTTCTATATAATTTTTGCATGTAAATTCTGAAGTACTGATATATTGGCTAATTAATTAATGATTAATTAATTATGTCATCGTAAGTCCCATGTCAAGTTTACATGTCAGTGCTTCAGAATTTGCCCTTGAAAACCAAGATGTTAGACATTGAATATATGGTATTTGTTTTTCCATTCAACAGATGCATGGATCCCTGGTCTACCTTTTATCTACTCCTGTATATCACTTCTTGGTGGTCTGATGCTGTTAGGTAAGTGCACAAGTAATATATACAGTATGAGTGGCCATGTTGTATCCGATCTACACCCATGTATTGAGCACTGTTTCACAGAAATCAATTCTATACTTTATATATATATACACACTGCCTCTAACATGTATTTTAAAATTATTCTCCCGTATTTTTTTTCCTTTTTCTTTTATTTTCAAGATTAACTTACTATTTCACTCCTCTTTTCCTGACAGTTTGTACACCAGTTGGGTTTGCCAGGATGTTTACAGTACTTGGCCAGTATGTTGTCAAACCACAGGTATATGACCAGTGACCATCATAGAGCATGAAATAATAAAGTTAACCTTTGTATTATCTTTACCATATATATCACTATTTAGTAAAAATACACAGGTGATTATTGAAAATCTTGTGTGCTGATTGGTTGAGAAACTCACACTATCACACAATAATCACCTCCAGCAATAATCCAAAATGGCAGCCAGCTGCTTTGTTGCTGTTACCAGGCAAAACGTCTTTTATCTTCTTTTTTTTTTCCCTTCTTTTTTTAAAAGAATCACCCAGACAATGATTATTTGCCTCAACCTTAGTAAATATCGGAGAATATTTACCTCGCCGCTCCAAGACTCGCATCTCGGTAAATATTCCCCGATATTCACTTTGCCTTCAGCGAATAATTGTTGAATATCAGTCACAGAATATCCTTCTCTTATTTTGTGCAATCTTGATGAGCTTCTTACCAGCTCTAAGAAGAAGAAGAAAAAAACAAAAGAAAATGTATGGTTTTTTTTTTTTAATCATTCACTTACATTTAAAATTGAATTAGTCTCCTACGCAGGGACTATTAGTGTTGTCACACAACACTCACTTTCCTAAGTACCCTAAAGGAAGTGAGTGTCGCGTGACGACACTTATAGCGAATGCATACAAGACTAAAATCAAATCTTAGCCTGCATGGTCAAGCTCTTCGCTCACTTTTCTGGGGGAGGAAAGTGAACAAAGAGCCTGACCACGCAGGCTAATCAAATCTTCTCTTAATATTATGGGTGTTAAAATCTCCAAAACCTTCCCCCCCTCCCCAATTGTTTTTGGTTTTTACATTCTCAGTTCTAGCATTCTTCTATTTAGTATGATTTCATTGTTGAAAGATTTTTTAGTTGTTAACCACATTTGTTTCTTTTAGTTCATGAGAGACCTTGATGATGAAATTTATGCCATACAAATGGAGGAAGCAAGTTTAAAGAGAAAGTTAAACGGTACACTCATTACTTCATAACAATTCATTTAGTTTATTCTTCTGGAGTTGGTAATTATCATTTCAATTCATACACAACTCTAACTCCTCTCTTCTTGTTCAGGTTTCAAGAATGGCTGGGCAGTTCATAATGGCAGATCAGAAGACTATGAGAACTATGACAAACTGAAACTACTAGAGTCAGAACGTAAAGAACTAGGTAAAGAAATAGCCTTGATAACCTTTGACGTTCAGGAGTTGGGTGTAGTAGAGTATGAAGAGGATGTTATCAAGTAATGATAATGACGTTTTTGATGGTGATGATAATATTGATGGTGGTGTTGATGATGAGGTAGCTGATATTGTTGATGATGAAGAGAAGGAGAATGGTGATGATAATAATGATGTCGATAATACACTGAATCGAAATATGGCGACCAATTTGAATAACTATTGTTCTACAATGACCAGTGACTGACTAGCCTCTCATACATGTGAAAATGCTTTTATGTTTCCACGTGAACACGAGGCTAGTCAGTCGCTAGTCAGTGCAGAACAATAGTTATTCAAGTTGGTCGCCACATTTTGATTTGGTGTATAATCATGTTTTTGATGGCGATGGCAGTGTTGATAATGAGGTGGGTGATGATGATGATGAGAAGGATGATAGTGATGATAATGATGATGTTTTTGATGGTGATGGCAGTGTTGATAATGAGGTGGGTGATGATGATGAGAAGGATGACGATAATGAGAAGGATGATAGTGATGATAATGATGATGTTTTTGATGGTGATGGCAGTGTTGATAATGAGGTGGATGATTATGATGACATAAGGATGATAGTGATGTTAATGATGATGTTTTNAATGAGGTGGATGATTATGATGACATAAGGATGATAGTGATGTTAATGATGATGTTTTTGATGGTGATGGCAGTGTTGATAATGAGGTGGATGATGATGATGATGAGAAGGATGATAGTGATGATAGTGATGATGTTTTTGATGGTGATGGCAGTATTGATGATGAGGTGGATGATGATGATGATGAGAAGGATGATAGTGATGATAATGATGATGTTTTTGATGGTGATAATATTGGCATGTTTATGACAAGGATGAACAATAGAGCCAGTTTGAAATAAATCAATTAGATCGCATATGCATGGTCATATTGTCAGTTATTCAACCCAAGTGACTGATATTTTTGTATTTCAGAGCACCGTGCTAAAGCATCATCTCTCCAAAGGAACTGTGTTTATCCCATCTTGTTACTTGTGCTCCTACTACTAACGGTAAGTTGAATATTTGTCTTCTTTTTGGACGTTTAGCAGATTTTAGAGTGACATCATATTGCCTTCAAACACTTGTTGTATTTGGGTCAGTACGCTTCTATACATTTATCGTATTATTGACTTAAATGCATCAACTCGAAAAAATTGTTTTAGGCGATAGATTGTAACTCTAGCATCTGTATTTTGATTAGAAGGAGAGAAAGACAAGAGAAGTTATGACTACTCGCAATCAGAACCCGGAAGCTACAGACCTTCCTAGCTTGGGTGCTACGTTTTCGGCCCATTCAGACCACGTGTCATTCTCTTTAGAATAGGATTTTTGTGTGAGTTTCTCATGTGCAACCATTAAACAAATAAATTATGTAGAGAATGACACGTGGCCTACTGTGTCCCAAGTTATCGGTCCCTACTAAGAACCTTTGACCTCATACTTGAAAACGCCAGACCTTTGGCAAAAATTCCTCCCAGCCAGTAAATAACATGTCATATAATTATATCAATACTATGCGGTATATATTGTATATATTCCCTTTTTCTATCATAGACAAGTCTTATGGCCATGGTTGCACTTCACTTTCTCGCTGTTCTGTTCGTTGATGGTTCGCTACCCAGACGAGCTACGGTGAGTCTGACTTTGTTAATGAGGACTCCTAAACAAAACTGAAAACGCTCGCCTTTTCATTCCTCTTATATTTAATGCTGTAGATGTCAATAGAGAATTTTCTCGATCACCCGATGGCAGCCATGTTGGATGGCTAACACTCCTAAACAAAACTGACCGCTCGCCTTTTCGTTCCTCTTTTATTTAATGCTGTAGATTTCAATAGA